AGAATGTAAAACACAGAATGAACTTTAATATAAATTAGGGACTTTGGGTGATGATGTTTTGGTGTAGGTTCATCAATTACAACGAATATACCACTCTGGTGTATATGCTGATAGTGGGGGAAGGCCCTGTGCAGTGGTGCAAGGAGTGTGTGAAAATTTGCCATACTTTACGTTCAATTTTTAAAAACATTTTTTTCAAGTAGTAAAATATACACAGCATAAAATGTCATTTAAACTTAGGTGTGAGGTTCAGTGGCATTAAGTACACTCACACCGCTGTGCAACCATCAATCACTATCATCCACCCCCAGAACTTCGTCATCCCATACTGCAACTCCTTGACATCACAATTTCGCTGTGAAACTAAAACTGTTCTAAAACAAACAAACAAGCAAACAAACAAAAAACACACACCACAAAGTCATATTAATTAAAAAATAAGGGGGGGTGGCATGAACCTACACGGACAAAAAGAGAGAAAGACGACAATAGCAATAACATTTTGGAAGCTGGAAAGCAGATGGATGAGAAATGACTAAAAAGCTGAAGAAAGAAAATCTTATACTAACAAGAAACATACTTAGGCCCATTCATATTTGATAAAATTCCTACTAAAACCACAGAAAAATACAGTTTTTCACTTCTCAGCTCAGACAAAATGAAAAGATCTGCAATTTCCAATGAAACTCTCTGCTTAGCCCCCACATTCTTTTGGCTTTCCTCATACTTCTCTGGTACCTCTGTTTGAGGTTCTAACCAGAATTAATTGTCAAAGTTCTTCAAGGCTCAGGCTACACGTATTTCCTCTTATGCTATACTATTCCCTAAGTGACTTACTTAATCCACACTGATGGCTTTAATTAAGATACCCAAATTGATTCTGGATTTCTCTTCTGCACTTTAGACCTACATGATCTAATGCTAACTTGGCATTTTTCTCTTGATGTCTCAATACCACTCAAATTCAATGTCCCCCAAACTAAACCCATGATATATCCAGCACTCCTCCACAGCAGATTCCCTTTCAGCAGACCCACATCAGCGGTTTGTCCCCCTTTCTGTGTATTTGCTAAAGTTAGAAATTTAAAGTCAATTTTGATACCACCCTTTTGCTCACACCCTGTTATCATTCATCAACATTTGTTTGTCTCTATTATTTTGGGTCATCCATTTGTCTCCACCTTCTTCACTACCTTCTAATCCAAAGTATCATAATCTCCTTTCTGATTTACTACAAATTTCTTTCCAGTTGATCACTCCTTATCCTTTATGGCATCTTCTAACTCATTTTACCCCTGCAGCCAGAATATTTTCAAAATGTAAATGAACCTGGACTTTAAATAAGAACTTAAAAAAAAAAGAAAAAGAAAAAGAAAACTGGTGCAGCCACTGCAGAAAACAGTAGGGAGGTTCCTCAAAAAGTTAAAAAAAACAGAACTACCCTGGGGTACCTGGGTGGCTCAGTCTGTTAGGCATCTGCCTTTGGCTCAGGTCGTGATCTCAGGGTCCTGGGATCGAGCCCCACATCGGGCTCCCTGCTCAGCAGAGTCTGCTTCTCCCTCTCTCTCTGCCCTACTTGTTCGCTCCCTCCCTCCCCCACAATCAAACACACACACACTCACACACACACACACATACACATATCTCTACCCTATGACCCAGCAACTGCACCACTGGGTATTTAATCCAAAGAACACAAAAATACTAATTCAGAGAGATACTACATGTACTCCAATGTTTAACAGCATTATCTACAATAGCCAAATTATGGAAACAACCCAAATGTCCATCAACAGATGAACGGATAAAGAAGATGTGGTACATATATACAATGGAATGTTACTCAGCGATCAAAAAAATGAAATCTTAATATTTGCAACAACATGGCTGGACCTAGAGTATTATGCTAAGCAAAATAAATTAGTCAGAGAAAGACAAGTATCATATGATTTCAGTCATATGTAGAATTTAAGAAAAAAAAGAGCAAAGGGATAAAAACAGAGAGGCGGGGCGCCTGGGTGGCTCAGTGGGTTAAAGCCTCTGCCTTTGGCTCAGGTCATGATCCCAGGCTCCTGGGATCGAGCCCCACATTGGGCTCTCTGCTCAGCAAGGAGCCTGCTTCCTCCTCTCTCTGACTGCCTCTCTGCCTACCTGTAATCTCTGTCTGTCAAATAAATAAATAAAATCTTAAAAAAAAAAAAAAGAAAAACAAGGCAAAGGAAGAAATAGATTCTCAATTGTAACTGATGGTTACGAGAAGGTTTAAATAGGTGATGGGGATTAAGGAGGGCACTTTTGTAATGAGCACCAGGTGCTGCATGGAAGTGCTGACTCACTACATTGTACACCTGAAACTAATATTGCACTGTATGTTAACTGGAATTTAAATAAAAACTTAAAATGTAAATCTGACCCTGTCAACCCTTCCCTGCCTCCACACCACCCAAGTTGCTTCTCATATCCCTTGAAATAAAGATACAAGGCCCTACATGGTCTGGCAACATCTCTCTTTCCATTCTTATTCTATAACATGATCCCTCTCTCTTTTGGTGGTGTTGTTGACGACACTCCATCAGCTGGTATGGCCTCCTCTGTATACCATCTTCTGTATGCTAAGAAATTTGTTACCGATCATCTTTCAGATTTAAGATCTTTATTTTTTCAGGTAAATGTGACTTAAGCTAAATATGTCTCTTTACAAACTTTCATAACATTGTGTATTTCTGCCCTGTAGCACCAGTTATAATAGCAATTTTGTTTTCATAGTTATTTAAAAATCTGGTTTTCCCAAGGTTATAAACTCTCTGAAGGCTATTGGGTTGTGGCTTACCGCTGTATCACCAGTGCTGGACACAAAGTAGCCCTTCAATAAATATCAAAGAGACAAGGAGGAACTGAACTTCCTTGAATCTGTACATATTATACAGTTATTAAAATAGATAACATGCAACAGTATGAATCTCAGACATTACCTTGAGTGAAAGGAGTCTGACAGAATACATACTGTATGATTCCCATTATAAGATGTCCAAAAACAGAAAAAAAACTAATTGCTGGTGTAGAAGTCAGAATCATGGCTATTACTGGGAAAGGGTTATTGATTAGAGAGGGTCGTGAGGGAACCATCTGGGCCTAGATAGGTTATATATTTTAATCTGGGTGGTGGTTACACAGATGTGTATACACAAATACATACACGATATACATACACATGTACATATTCATCACTTTTTTTAGTATACTTTTCTGTATATGTTTTACCATGACAAAAGGAAAAAAAGGAAGACATTTTTGGGAAAAAAGGTAAAAAACTTAAGTATGGATGAGAAATACGCCTACAAGACCTTGGCAAATTAACTAGTTTGCAGAACATAATATATGCTATGATCTTGATTTGGTAAAACAATACACGCATACAGTTCTTCTGGTTTCTGCAAAAGACAGAAGTCCTACATTAACTAACTTAAGCAAAAAATTCATTTACTGACACATACCTGGAAAGCTTACTTAGCTTCAGTGAAACTCTCTAGACCATTCAAAGGCTAAAAATTATTAGGGAACCACTCAGAGGTCACAGGATCCCTGTTCTCAGAGTGCCAGAACCAAGCCTAATCAGGTTTCAAATGAGACTTTTCAAGCTCCATCAAAAAGTCTATGCTCCGGGGCGCCTGGGTGGCTCAGTGGGTTAAAGCCTCTGCTTTCGGCTCAGGTCATGATCTCAGGGTCCTGGGATCAAGCCCCGCATCGGGCTCTCTGCTCTGCGAGGAGCCTGCTTCCCTCTCTGCCTGCCTCTCTGCCTACTTGTGATCTCTCTCTGTCAAATAAATAAATAAAATCTTAAAAAAAAAAAAAGTCTATGCTCCTGTGTATCTGAAGAGATGTGCCATGTAGTTACAGAAGAAAAGCGACAGCAAGCTAGTTTCCAAGCATCAGTCCCTCATTCTAAAGACACACAGAGTCTATGAATTGCAGGCATCTGAACTGCTTTTCAGACGGGCAACTCTATATAGCTCACTGCAAAGTGAACAGGAAGAATTCATTTACTGTTGGTATGGATTCTTACCAAAACTTCAGGAAATCCCATATAGTCATATGCAAATCTTCTAATAACATAAGGCCTACAAGTGCTCAGTGCTTCAAAAGACAAAAGTATACCCCACAAGTCACATTGAGCCTTATGATTTCTTAAATTTACAAGTAATGTTTTATTAGAAAATTTCCTAGATCAAGTTGGAGATAGCCATACATCAATTTTACAACCATTGCTTTTTTCAAGTACTTAGAAGAATCGGATATGTTTCATATATCCCACACATGAATGTTATTCTTTTAATCATTTGGTGACATGAGTATCTATAATGCAGGCTGAATCATGAAAAACTGATGATATTTAACCACTTGTGACCTACAAAGGGCATTTTCATATGATTCAGACAAAAACCAAACCTTGTGAACAAAACAAATTCCCTGCCTCTGTGTGGATCTCACATGAGTGGTGGGGGGAGCATCGCAAAACAAATGAATATATGGTATATAAGATGGTGTTACATACCTCAAAGAAGAACATAAAACGTTAAAAGGGATACAACAGAGTATAGGGCAATGGCTGTCACTTATTTTATATGAATGGTCAGGGGAGGCTTCATAGATGTAACAACATTTGAACAAAATCCTGAGGAAAGAGAAAGCAAGCCTCTAGATTCTTCCACAATGAGAAAATATCATTAACGTGAAAATTTCTGCCAAGCTTATGCTAAAAAAAAAAACGAGAACAAATAATTCTGCTAAAACCAATTGAGTGTTTAAACAATTATGGCCCTAATTAAACTCTCAGCCAATCTATACCAAACAAATACATGCCATCAAAATTAAAACGGACATTTATAAGCTCTTATTCTACACGCAACACACATTTCATGGGAACATTATTTTTCGTCCATGTTTTCAATCTAATAAATATTCACATATAAGACTATACAAAAACATAAAGCAATTCTTACATTTTCTGAAGAACCTGGGCCATCACAACCCCATTCGTTAAATCTTCCACGGTCTGGCATGGTGCATCCACATTAAATGTCTGGATCTAGGGAAAAAAAGGAGGGGGGTTGGTGGGGGGGGGAGATTCTCTGGTTAATTACACAGGAGATTTCTTAGGCTTCCTTTTGTGATTATCTCATTTTGATAGTTAGAATAAATTTTAAAAAGCAGTAGAGTTGGAAAATTTTTCCCTTATGGGAAATTTCCTGCAGGTTCTCATTGTCCCTTAGGTAGAAAAGAAATTGAGGTGGACACCTGGTGACACCCCAGCATTCCTTCTCCTCACAGATGACCAATCTAAGCAAGTCATGGTAACTCCATTTCCTCTACCAGTGACTAACTTAGGATTCACGGGGCAAAGACAATTTGAACCAAAGAATTGGAGGGAGATGCTTAAACTTGAGTTTCTAGGAAAGAAGAGCCAATCTCCTCTTGCTGCGGTCAAGTATGTTGCCTCAACTGCCACCAGCAGTCATCTTAGGGCTCTTAACAGAATATATTTTAGGAAGAGGCTGATGCACTCTAAGACAGAGAAGAGGAATACAAAGAACTGGGTCCTTGAAAAAATTGAGCCACTGAATTGAAAAAAAAAAAAAAAATGTGAAGCTTATTTTGTGAAAAAGACGTGCTTAAGGCTGGCCAGACAGAGATTTCATTTATTCAAAACCAAAATATCTTTAAACAGACATAGAATTCACATTCACTATAGTTGAGGTTAGATATTCAATTTTGATTATAAATGTACTGTGAATTAGATCTAAGTTTGCAAAAAAACAAAAAACTAACAACTAACTTTGCGCTGGTCAGCATGACATGGCTGAGAAATAGAAATTATTTCCATAAGATAATACAGCTGAGCCAACAATGATTATACCCAGTAGTGCAACCAAGATTTAGAAGGAAATAAATCATTGAGAAAAGACAGATGCGGCCATGCTCTCCCAGTTTATAGATTAGCAAAATGAAAGAGTATGACAGGATGTGCAAACAGCAACACAAAGATTAGAAGTGAGTGGGATGCAGTCTAGGAATGAAAAACAGCTTAGCATGGGATGGGGGGGTGGGAATAGGAAGAGATGGAAGAGGGAAAAGAGTATAATGGTGAAAGATGGGGCATTACTGTGCAAAACCTCATAAGTCACGTTAGGACTTTATTCTAAGAGCAATGAGGTAGGAGGGTGGCTAAGCAAAGGACTCCATGAGACTGAAGCCATGAGATTTGCGCTGTATAAAGATCATCCCGGGGCGCCTGGGTGGCTCAGTGGGTTAAGCCGCTGCCTTTGGCTCAGGTCATGATCTCAGGGTCCTGGTGATCGAGTCCCGCATCGGGCTCTCTGCTCAGCAGGGATCCTGCTTCTCTCTCTCTCTCTCTCTCTCTCTCTGCCTGCCTCTTCGTCTACTTGTGATCTCTGTCAAATAAATAAATAAAATCTTAAAAAAAAAAAAAAAATCATCCTGGCTGCAGTATGAAGAAAGGATTGGAGGAGAAGAGGCACAGAGACCTATTTTTGTAGGTTTATATTATTAACACAGATGAGGTCAAACTAAGTAGAGACAATGGAAATATTGGGAATAACACTCAAATCTTCTCACATTTTTATTTATTGGGTTACATACTCAGAAGTGAAATTACTGGGGGTGCATGGGTGGCTCAGTTAATTAAGCATCTGCCTTTGGCTCAGGTCATGATTCAGGAGTCCTGGGATGGAGCCCCCACATCATGCTCCCTCCTCAGTAGGGAGTCTGCTTCTCCCTCTCCCTTTGTCCCCCCATCCTGCCCCACTGGTGTGCTCATGCTCTCTCTCTCAAATAGGTAAATAAAATAATTAAAAAAAGATTCTTTAGAAGTGAAGTTACTGGGTCAAAGTGTATGCACATTTTAAGATTTTTGATAAATACAAACTGCCCTTAATTCTCGTAATTGTTTTAGTAATTTTCTCACTTAGTAACAGTAGGTGAGTATCTAATTCTCTGTACTGTATCATTTATCAAATCTTTAAAAAAAAAAAAAGCTACAGACAAATGCAGTCAGTAGCTTCTTTATATTTCCTATATGGGAGAGTCTTATGAATAGTGAGGATTACAGTGGTGGAAACTAAAGGAATTATCTTAGAGATCACATAGCAAATAGTTTTTATCTAAATATCCATTTGGGAGAGTAATGAAAAGAAGCCATCCCCTGACACTAACTTCATATACAGCAGAGGTTCAATATAATTAGTAAATGAATAAATGGAACAAATAAATATCTGCAGGAACTGATATAAAATTTTATTCTATATTATCTCCAGCTGTCTCAATAGTAATGTGATAACAATGTAGTTTAAAATGAGATAAGCACCTGCTTTCATTTTACAGTTGATAAATTCATCTCTCATAGGTTTAAGAGGAAAAAGAGACAGCAGTGAGAGCCACATCTCATTTATCTCTTAACCACTAATCTTAACACAATGTCTGACACAGAATAAGCCCCAAGTGAGCATGTTTTGAAAGCCCCAGCTTTGCTCTTAATTTGCTGTGTGAACCTGGATGTGCCAGTTTACCTCTCTTAAGAGTTTTTTAATCTAGCAATTGGGAAAAATACCTTATGGAGAGGTGTTCTGCTAAAGGCATAAATGAGAAAATGAATGTAAACTAGGTATTTTGAAAAGTTTAAAAGCAGTGGTTCCCAAACCTGATGTACATCAGAATCATGTGGCAAGTTGCAGAAGGCTGGGAATTGACTTTTAACATGCTCATCAAATAATTCTTATGTGGTGGGACACTGGTTGGGCATTTGCAACCCTCTGATCCAAAGCAGATTAGAAAACGGTCTCTGACCAATTAAAAGGAAAAAACTCAATAAAGCAGATAATTCTTCAATAAATGTAAATAATTTAGTTCTAAAATTCTATTTCTCTCTTGGGACTTAGAAAAAACTTATCTTTGTTCTGATTTTTAAAATGTGGCTTCTAAACAATTACTTTCTCTATATTGGCTCTTAAGGTAAATAAATACTTGATCATGAAGGCTACATGAAGTCCACCTGTGCTTGAAATAAAAGCAGGTGCCAAAGGAAATCTAGCTTTATGGAGTTTCCTTTTGGGATGATAAAAAGTGTTTACCACAAACCACTGAATTGTACATTTTAAAAGCATGTATTCTGGGGCTCCTGGGTGGCTCAGTCTGTTAAGCATCTGCCTTCAGGTCATGATCCAGGGGTCCTGGGATCGAGTCCCCTATCGGGCTCTCTCCTCATCAGAGAGGTTCCCACTCACCCTTCCTGTGCACCCCTGTGCTCTGTCAAATAAAGAGAATCTTAAAAACACTCTAAAGGAGGGGCGCCTGGGTGGCTCAGTGGGTTAAACCTCCGCCTTTGGCTCAGATCATGATCCCAGGGTCCTGGGATGGAGCCCCCCATCGGACTCTCTGCTCAGTAGGGAGCCTGCTTCCCTTCCTCTCTCTCTGCCTACTTGGGATCTGTCAAATAAATAAAATCTTTAAATAAATAAATGCATTTAAAAAAAATAAATGCATTTAAAAAAACACTCTAAAGGAAAAATTTAAAGAACGAATTTTATGGTATATGAATATTTTAATTTTTAAAATATCTATCATCTACTAGTCTCATCAACTGAGTTTACATCTACAGGATGTGTCTGGAGATCAGCACAGTAAAATTTAAAGATAATTACACCTAAGTGCATTAAGGTGTGAAATTCTACCTAAAAGATCATAACCTCTCTTTCAATTCCAAGAAGCTCTATTAACATCTCCCAACCTCCCTCTCACCCTCCCCCACAAAAGCATGAGAAAAGTAAAACAGGACATCACCTGGAATTAGTATCTCCACAGCAGTTCTCAACCAGGGTGGTTTTGCTCCCTAAGAGACATTTTTGTTTTTAACAAATAGGTGTGTGCTACTGGTATCTAGTAGGCAAAGGCCAGGGTTGCTACTTTTATAGGTTTTTTTTTTTGTTTTGTTTTTTTTTTTTAAAGATTTTTTATTTATTTATTTGGCAGAGAGAGATCACAAGCAGGCAGAGAGGCAGGCAGAGAGAGAGGAGGAAGCAGGCTCCCCGCCGAGCAGAGAGCCCGATGCGGGGCTCGATCCCAGGACCCTGAGATCACGACCCGAGCCGAAGGCAGCGGCTCAACCCACTGAGCCACCCAGGTGCCCCATAGGGTTGCTACTTTTAAATGTCATACAATGCACAGGGCACTGCAACTGAATTCTCCAACCCCAAATGCCAATAATGCTAAAATAAAAAATCCCTGCTCTTAGAGCAGTGGTTCTCAAGGTATATGGTCCCCAGGCCACTAACAACAGCATCACCTGGAAACCTGTTAGAAATCAGAATCTAGGGCGCCTGGGTGGCTCCGTGCGTTAAAGCCTCTGCCTTTGGCTCGGGTCATGATCCCATGATCCCAGAGTCCTGGGATGGAGCCCCATATCGGGCTCTCTGCTCAGCGGGGAGCCTGCTTTCCCCCTCTCTCTAACTAAGTAATATGAAAATTACAAGGATATGCTAATGTTGCTGGGTTTCGCAGAAGAAATGTACTTAGCCTATGTGATGATTCTTTTCCCACTAAACTGATAGCGTTCCAGATTTGTTCTGGTTTTTTAGTGTCTAAAACCTAGGAAAGAACAATCTTTTCACGTAAAGTTCAAGAAATTAGGCTTGACAGGTGCAATAGGCAGGGCAGATTTCTGTAACAGGTAAGAATACAATTTGACTCAGGGTGGGGAGAGGAGGTAGAGTGGAAATTTTCAAGCACATCCTGCTGAACTTGCTTGCTGCATAAACTCTAATTTGGAATTTAACCTTAAGGTGTTTTCCACTGGTAGAAGGATACTCTGTCTTTTCCTAACTATTCCTCTTTCAACAAAAATTTGGAACATTTGATTCTTGGGCTAGGAGGCATTCTGATACAACAACTATTTATCCAGCATTTAAGGCAATTCGATGTCCACATAAATGAATCCTGGACAGACAACTAATAGTCATCCCTTTTAAGTGCCTGAGTTTTCATTATTTTAACTATTTCTAAAGTTAGTTCTAAAGTGGAAGAATTTCTAAAGTGTACTATCTACCTCCTACCTGTACTAAATGCTAAGTACTAAGTGAAAATAAACTTTTGATATTCAAGATCCTAATTATGATCTTCAGTAATTGAGCATGGAGGTTCTTGAATTCGGTAAGGCTGTCAGCTCAAAGAATGAAACACGTAGTACTGAGCTTTCAGTTTTTGGATCTTCTAGGTCACGGGCAGCTGCCTGTACCTTGCCAAGTGCTGAAGTTACCGCCTAATCTTCTTTGTGCACAGAACCCACATGACCAACATGGCTGTAAGCTTATGTAGAGTAAATTAGTCCAAATGGGAGTCTTGTCTTTTCTTTTTTAAGTAGGTTCCATGCCAACTGTTGGGCTTGAACTCAGGACCTTGAGATTGAGAATCACAAGTTCTACTGACTCAGCCAGCCAAGCGTGCTAATGGGAGTCTTCTTTGGAGCGTATTGCATACTTTTCTCCCCCTTACACTTGGTTTCGGAATTGTTGGCAGCATAAGCTGGCCTCCAGATATGAGGGGAATGCTAGGCTAAATGTACACTTTTAGCTACCTCATTTTCTGCATAAATATTTATTCTGCTTTTTATAATGACAAAGGGAAGCCAGCATTTAAACTCAACTTTATTTTGAAAGATTTCAATGCACAAGGTTTTAAAATGTTTCCAAATCTTAGAATTGTACATCTTTGCAGAGACTCTGCCCCTCCAGTTGTTACTGAAAATCTCCAATCTTATTTTTTCCATAAATTTTCCCTTTTGGGCCTTCCAGTGACAATTCAAAAATTCTTTTCTACAACACCATATTCCCTGGTTTTCAGGGAATCTGATAACCTAGGTTTTGTTTTCTTGACATTTACCAGATCCTAAATAGATGCTCTCATACTGTGTGTCTCCTCAAACTTCTCCAAGACTCTTCCTCTATATTTTTATTAGCAATTCTCACTCAAATAACTGCAATGATCACCATCTTTTTGCAGATGGCCTTCACATACACCTGTTTTCAAGACTTGTCTTTCTAGACTTTAAACCATGTAGCCCTACTTCAGATTCAGTTCGCTTCCTCATCTTTGCCCTCTTGCCTTTTTCTAGCATTGAGGGAGGAACTTACTTGTACAGACTCAAAAAAGCACACCTTAAGATCCCCATCTTCTGTTTACAACCTCTGCCAAATCTATTCCTGCCACAGGATCAAAGAATGTGGTCATTCTTTTCCTTTATCTCTCCCATGCCTTGGCCACATTATGCAGCTTAATAGTTTCCCTCTTCTCTAAAATACAGTAATGAAACCCTTCTCGTCTGAAATTGGAGCCTACTATATTTGTAAGCTATATGTTAACTATATATTCTTGCAAAAACCAAAAAACACCCTGAAATCCCAGTAATAGCCTAACATAAAAATTATAGAACATATCAAGTCCTAGCAGCGTATGTATTATTTCAGAAGACCTAATCTGATTCACAGAACACATTATGAAAATCTGAGTAGGGGCACATGGGTGGCTCAGTTAAGCATCTGCCTTCAGCTCAGATCATGATCTCAGGGTTCTTGGGCTCAAGTCCCATGTCCAGCTCCCAGCTCAGCACGGAAGTCTGCTTCTCCCTCTCCCTCTGCCCCTGCTACTGCTCTCTCTCTCTCTCTCAAATAAAATCTTAAAAAAGAAAGAAAAAACCTCAGAGTATTTACACTACCTTTGTTACAACCTACCTAATGCAATGCTTCTTTAACCTTTCCGTGGAAGTGCCCCCACACAGGAAAGTAACACATAACATTTCAGAGATGTGAAACGACTCAGGTACCCCTGAACAGAATTTTTTTGACATCTGTATCTTATCTTTAACATTAACCCTAATGCTGTAGTCACCTCAATAAATATATTAGTGTCCTATTCTAGAAATGACATTTAACATTTTTAGCAGTGAGTAAAACTCCTGGAGAAAGCACTAGGTTTATCCCGAGGCTCTGCGGACCCCATACATACAAACGCACAGGCCAAGAACGGACACCTAGGTTTGTGAAACACAGCCTGGGTTTTAGCTTCCAGAACTGTTTTTATAGTTTAATAAGTATCTCCACGCGGCTGACTTTTTCATCTCCGAAGCGTATCTCGCATCTTAAATACCGTCTCTGGATGCCCTTCCGCATTTTCCCTACCCTCCCTTCAAAGTACTTTTCTCTTCCAGGGCACCCGGCTCATCCCGCAAGGGGCTCCCCTCCACTGCTCTGTGAACGCTACAACAAAGGCGAGGAACGTCGTAACCAGGGGTTCCGAGTGCGTCTACCGGCTGCGCCCGGCGCAGAGACAGCCGAGCTCCGGCGTCCCCGGCAGCGCGAGGGAAGCGCCCGCGCCTCGTCAGCTGCAAACAACAACAATCCTAATCACAGTGCCGCCCGCGCCCCATCATTAGCCTCCACCGGGCCGGTTTCCACTCGCAGAGCAGCCAACACCTCAAGCCCGGCAAGTTTCCCTCGCACTCGGGGCCGAGTCCCCCCCTCCCCGCCCGGCCGCTCCCCGCCGCCCACCGCACGGCCCGGCCGCCGGGGTCGACGCGGCCCGCATCGGCGGCCCCCGGCTCCGCCCGCCCCAGGCCCCGGATGTGACGGCACCGCCGCCCTCGGCGCTCGCCCCCCGCCACAAGTGTGGGGGATCCCGGAAAGAAGGCCTAGGGGAGGGGGTCTTCCCCGACGCGCCAGTCACCACATACCCAAGTGAGAAGGCTCTCGCACAGCTCCACCCGCTCCACCGACTCCACGTTGAACATCTTCCCCAGCTGGGGCTCGGCAGTGCCTCCCCGCCTCACCAGAAACCGCTGCCGCTCGCTCTGGGGCTGCGTCCGAGGGTCGGGGCAGCTGACCTGGCCTCTGGCCCACCTTCTCCTCAGCCCCGGCCGCCGACGACCGCCCCGGCGCTGCCAGCGGCTATCGCACCGTCACCCCCGCTGCCCCTCCTTCTCCTTTCACTCGGGACCGCGCGCCCGCCGCGCGCGCCTCCGGCCACGCCCGCAGCCTCGCGTCCCCGCCTCCAGCCCCCACACCCCTCCTCCGGAAAGCGCCGGCCCTGGCCAGAGCCGCGGCGGACGAGCCACTGCGCACAATCACGCTCGGGCCGGCCCGCCTCCCCGCCGCCGCCGCGGCGCGCGCCCCGACGCCGGCCCGCTGCGTGTCGCCGCGCGCACGCGCCCGGCCCTGGGCGGCGGCGGCGGCGGGCGGCGGCAGCGGCGGCGGGTCTTCCCCGCCTGGCCGCTTGCAGCTTCACGGAAGCTCGGCAGTGCGCGTGCGCCGGTGTCCGCACTCCTAATTAAAAAAGACCTAGTGGTTGCCTGGGAGGGGTGGCGGGGGCCGTGCCCGGAAATAATCTCTAGTCTCAGTCACCGGGAATTGGCGAGGTATCCTCTGCGGTGGAGAGGTACGCGCCCCCTCCCCCTCCCAGCCGCCCGGGCCGCGGCCGGCCACGCCCACCCGGATCCGGGGGCCGGCGCTCTGGCGTGGGCGGGACTGCCCCGGGGTCGCCTTCGGGCTTCGGGGCAGGGGGGAGTCGCCGCCTCGGATCCCGGGGCTCCGCCTTCCTTTAGGAAGCCCGAGGCTGAGCCCCAGAGCCTCCCGGCTCCCGCCCGGAGTTCCGGAGGCGGTGGAAGGGCCGACGTGGCGGGCGTCTCGTGGTTCTGGGCGCTGGGCCGGGTGAGAAGAGCCAGCCGTCCCTTCCCAGGTCGCGGTGAGCGTCGACTCCCTGAAAACTTCGGCTGCGTAGTAGGGAGAGGGTGTGCGCCAGTTGTGAGTCCGCGAGGACCTCGGCCGTTCTAGGGCCTGCTTCTCCTCGTGCGGAGCTGGCAGGCGGCCTTCTTGTTGGATGGCTCGGCGGGTGGTCCGCCGCGAGCACCCACCTTTGTAGAGGCGTGGGTTTCTGCAGGGATATCAATATATTTTTATGCGATACGACCTATGCAGAAAAGTGCATACAACGTACATGGTTAAAGAAAAATAATGATTAACACCCGGATAAAAGAACACTGCTCACCCCTCAGGAGTCCTACCCACACCTAGTGTTCCTTCCTGAGAACAGTTTCGTCCCTAGACTTGTATGATACTTTCCTGCTTTTCTTTCTAGCTTTACTGTCTGTATATGCATGCCTAAACGATGCAGTTTTACTTTGCTTGTTTTTGAACTTTTATGAATGGGATCAGTGTATTTTGTGGCTTTGAATTTATAGTAAATTTGTATATATCTATAGGTAATTTTTATTGCTGCCTAGTATTCCATTGTATGATTGTAACAGCGTAACCATTCTGTCAATGGACGTTTTGTTGTCCGAGTTTGGGGGTACTAAAAAGAGTGCTGTAAGCATTCTTATACCTGGATCCTAGTGCAAATCTGTAGGGGGTTTCTTTAGGATACATGTCTTGGAGTCCTAGGAGAATCGTTGAGTCCTAGGGGTATACATAACTTTATCAGGTAATGCCAAATTTATTTGGAATGCAGCAAACATAACTTCCTAGAGCACGTCTTTGGTTTGCAAGTTCTGGAGCCCCCCTTTTCCCATTAGGAGTAGGTTTTATCTTTGAGTATTCATAATCAGGTGAGTTTTTAATGATGCCTTACAGAGTCCCAGTTAACAATTCACATGTGATGAATTTATTTTGTAAATGTAAGAAAAATCTTACCTAGACTCTTCTCAATGGTCTTTAAAAAAAAAAGTATTCTTCCCTCCACCATGGGCAGAGAAATCTTTAGAAATAATAAATGTGTACTACTGGCCTTGTTTCCTCTGTTGGTGCCTCTGGATCTCGGTCAAACCAGAGTTCTTACATTCCATGCTAAGTCCCTAGCACTTTAATGACCTTTAACCCTTGTTGGGCACATAAAATCAGTAAGTATATGTTACATTGACTGAAGCCTGACTCACCTGCAACTTGTCTTTGGAAGTGGAGTACAAGATGCTAACCTTTTCTGGAGGGACTGGTATAGTGAACACCTTCACTCCAGCTGCTTAGGTTTCAAGATTTTGACACAAATGACCTAAGCCTCCTTTTTCAGTCTTGACTGCTCACCCACAATACATTTATGTTTGATACTGCAGTGTTCTTGACATTTCATTTATGGCTCCAATTACCCTCAATGAAGGAAATTATATTAAAAGCTTCTTGTATGTAATTATCTATGGAAGTGATGATTATCATGTTTCTACATGAACTTGGGTAAAAAGACCGAGTTTCTCCTTTGGAAGTTATGCAATTTCCTATATTTCCCTTATTCTTAATTATTTTTTTCTGAAAGTTTTGGAAAAAAACAAGGAGGTGAGTGCAACTTGTTTTAGCTGTCTCCTTACTCTGGTTAGTTGGAGACTAGTTCTCATCTATTATAGCTGTGTGTCAGACTTACTTATTTTTATAGCTGCTTATCAGATTTAAATAAACACTGTAGTGTCCTGCGTGGCAATGCTCCCAAATTTATGGAGTATTCCCGGGGAGTACATATTTATAGCTTTGATTAAAGAGAATTTGAGGGGCGCCTGGGTGGTTCAGTGGGTTAAACCTCTGCCTTAGGCCCAGGTCAGGATCTCAGGGTCCTGGGACAGAGTCCCACTTCCGGCTTTCTGCTCGGCGGGGAGCCTGCCCCCCCCCCAACCGCCTGCTGCTCTGCCTACTTGTCATCCCTCTCACTCGGTCAAATAAATAAATAAAACCTTAAAATTTTTGAATTTGAGATGCAACATAGTGCAGCTATGGGGAAGGCACGACTAAGTTTTATAATGGTTCTTGACAGTTGTTAATTATAGTAATCAAGGATGCCTAGCTGGCTCAGATGGTTGGGCATGTGTCTCTTGATCTTGGGATTGTTAAGTTTGCGGTCCATATTGGGTGTAGAGATTACTTTAAAAATAAAATCTATAAAAAATTAGTAATCAAAATACTGTAGCTTGAATTTACTGAGAGCCTATATGATGAGCCCAGCAATATGCTAAATACCTTCATTATCTCGTTATAAAGTCCATTAAACAAAAACCTTTTGGGGGGGTGTCAAACAAGTGGGCATTTGGGGGGCACCTGGCTGGCTCAGTAGGTAGGGCATGCGACTCTTGATCTCAGTGTTGTCAGTTCAGGCCCATGATGGGTGTGGAGATTACATAAAAGTGGGCATTTGGTGTGGTTAAAATTAATTTTATATATTTTACATATGAGGAAGCTGAGATGCAAACTTTACGTAAGTACATAGTTGTCTGACTCCAGAGCTTACGCTTTTCTGCCATTAAGCTATTCCTCAATAAGGCTTAGCTAGTTAATCAGCAGCAGACCAGGGGTGCCTGGGTGGCTCAGTCTTCAAGCACCTGCTTTCGGCTCAGGTTATGATCCCAGGGTCCTGGAATCCACCTCCACGTCAGGCTCCCTGCTTGGCGGGAATCCTGCTTCTCTCTTTCTCACTCCCCCAGCTTATATTCTCTGTCAAAGAAGTAAATAAAATCTTAAAAAATAAATAGCAAACCGAAGCTAGAAAGCAGTTCTCTTCAGGCTTCTATCAATTATACCACCCAGTTTCCAAGACCTATGGTGTTTTGTTTCTGTGAATCTCAAATAGTAAAAATGAAGTCCTGGTAACTCTTACTGTCTTATTTGTAGTGGGAGAAGGAACTTAAGAAACCTCAAGCCCAGTTTTGCAGACAATGAAAGGTCTTTAGAGATTAAGTGGGAACACAGTTGTGGTAGTAGAACTGGAACTAAAATCTGGACTCTTTATGTCCAGGCAGGCTTGAGTTGAGGGCCTGTGCTTTAGGGCAAAACCAGCCTCACAGTTCTGGTCTAGACAAGATCTAACCTTGTAATGCATGAGTTGGAGAACTGAAGTTCAGATCGAAAAGACTGACTTTTCAAGATTGAGGTATTATGTAATCTTAAGTAGAAAATTTTCTTTTTATCATTTATCCTCAGATCTGCATCACCCCATTTTTGAACTATTGAACTCCTATAGTTCCATTTTAAAACTATGATTATAAGAAAAACTACTAGTGGAAATTGAGCTATTGGAAGCCCCCAACAAGGTCAGTCATTAATAGTTCTCTTCTCCCAGTGAGAGCGCTGGCTTTAGCTGGGGTTTCCATGTGACAGGAAAACACAGCTGACCACCCTGTTCCTCTCAGGAATTTATCAGTGGCCTTTTCCCCTCCTCCCCTCTCTCTGCCCAGACACTTTCTTTCCCCTCCCTTCTCTCTGCCCAAACACTTTCTTTGGGAATACCAGAATTTGTGGAAGTAAAAAATAACTCTTCCTTTCAATAACATCGGGAGCTTCTGCAGTAAAATGATGCAAATAACATTATGTGGCTCTGCAATACTTAGAGCATCCTGGGATCTCTGAGCTCTTGGAACTGTGCTTGAAGCAATATCATAAGCAATACCTTATTTACAAAGAAGTTAAATATACAGCAGAGTGAAAAAACATAATTCATGCAGTGGAATTTACTCACATTACCCTTGATTATATGTGGAAGGACACTGAAACAAATGTAACCCATTTTAAAAAAATAGAAAGGAGTCTGGGGAAGAAAAAACTATCCCTCTACCCTATTAGATTCTTGGCTGAGACTCCCCTGTAATAAAAGACATTAACGAGAAAAAAACAGAAGCTTAATTTATTAACTTCCTGTGTACATGGGCGGTACCTAGGAAAACTGAGTAAACTCCCAAATGGCCCAAGCAGTCATATTAAATACCACCTTCAGCTAAAGACAAAAGTGTTGGGGGTGGGGGGGAGACACAGTTATGGGAGGTTACCAGGAAAAGCACAGTAAACAAGGGTAAAGTTGTTACGCAGATTTAAGTCAGTGCTTTCTCCAAAACAGTCTGTAGGGATTTAGTCCTCTTCAGGTATTGAGAGGGAGATACCTTTACAAATGGAGATTTCCCTTGTAAATGTCTCTTTCACGGAAGGGTAACTTCTACTTGAGTTTCAGAACTTTTCCTTTGCTGTTTTTTTATTTTTTTTTTATTTTTTTTTATTTTTTTTTTTTAAAGATTTTATTTATTTATTTGACAGAGAGAGATCACAAGTAGGCAGAGAGGCAGGCAGAGAGAG